TAATTCAATACAAAATTAACTATTCAATTCTCAATTTAGAGATTTATTGAACACAGCATTTTATGTGCTGCAGTTTCTGGGATTTTAGTTTGGTACCTAGGAATACCAGCAACAGTACTGACAATAATAGCCCTTTGTCTCTTAGAAATGAACATCAAAATTTTATCATCTCTTAATTTAAACATGATGCCACCTGTCCATTCTGGCTCCAACTAAATGGGCGAGTGGAAAATGGAATGTGTCTAGAACAATAGGTTATTGGAAAATGAGAACACATGCAAAAACTTTCCTCTGTTGATTTACTGTGAAGAAACATATGAATGTTCTTCTGTTGAGTTAAGTACAAATCAAGTAAGCCTGTCTACAACTTCAATTTAGAAAACAAATTGTCTTACAAAGTAACCCATCATTTATCAGAGAACTCACATGGACAGGAGAAGAAAAGATTTCCTAGCCAAATATTTTGGCCCAACAATGTCTCTAAAAGTTCAGAAAAGACTTTAACAGTCAAGTATAGAGAGCCACACATACATACATGAAGTCCTAGTTCAGTTATGAAAAACTTTTCATTGTCCCTGTTCTGCACCCCAGATCTGTGAGAGTTATCTTGTGCTACAAAAATAGTATAAAAATGGTAAATTGACTTTAATTCAGAATCACTTAAATGCAATAAGGTAACTTGAAAAATATGGCATGTTCTCAGGTCAAAGCTAGAAGCTCTTGTTTCTGGATACAGAAGCAGACAGATGGGTTATAAGTTGAGCCCCATATTGGCATTTAAATCCTGGTCATCATTTACTAGCTTAAAACCCTGAGCAAACTAAAACCATCATGAGCATCATGGAATAGTGGCTGCAAAGATCATCTAAGACTGCCTAAGGTCAGTGTGTGTCCAGCACCAGCAAGAGAACACCTACACCTACTGTTACTGTGACAAGAATAAAAAGCTCTGGTGCTACAGGCACATAGCAAAGCACCCATTCCACTCATAGACCCAATAAAGCCTTCCAGATGAAGCCAAGTCTATTTTGGGACCAGAGTCACAGGAAAGGTCATTTTCAAGTTAATGCTTGTACCAATCAAGATTTTCTACTTAAGGACAGGTGTTTGGCCCAGTGGTTAAGATGCCATGTGGGATGCCCTGCATCCCAAATCAGGGTGCCTAGGTCTGGGTTCTGGATTTACTTCTGATTTCATCATGTTTGAGCTCCAGGATCTTGGCCCAGCCCTGGCTGTTGTGAGCATTTGGCAAGTGAATCAGCAGAAGGCCTCTCTCTCTCTCCCTTTCAAAAATAATAAATAAAAGAAATAAAATTTTAAAAGAATTCCTACTTAGAAAAAGCAATTTTGGTACTTAACCATCTCATAGAAATTCAGATTAGAAAGAAAAAATTAGGGCCCAACTGGTAGCCAAACAATATCAACTATGGATCACTAGGTTTTAAGTATTCTGTTGTGTTATTAATTGCAGTGGCTTTTGTCTCCCTTAAGCCCTCAAATTATTTTTTAAAGAAGGAAAATAGTTCTCTTTGAGGTCATAGCTAGCACACAGAAAAACACAGCCACTCACTCCATTTCTCTTTGGCACACACTGTCCATTGCCAGTGTTCCTCATTTAAGCTCCTTGAGAGCAAAAGCCTTGAGAGAACGTATTGTAGAATAAGCTCACAATTCTCAGCACACCTTTGCAGCCCATGTTGAGGAGGATGTGCATGGGCCCTATGATCATTTCTTCTCATACCCAACCAGCCACCCAATCATTACTTTTCCCCATTTTCCTACTCTTTCTGTGAATGCATTAGTGCCCACCAGATGAATTAATCAGCTTGCCTAACGATTACCTGTGATCACCCATGGGAACAAATCAAAGATTGTTTATGGTGGGTCAGAAATATCTGCATCATATATAAAGTCAGTCATCCTTGAATGACTTTGGAATAATAAAATCCATGACATTGAAGAACGTTTGTTATTCTTAAGTTTATTTTATTTACTTGAACAGCAGAATATGAGAGAGAGCAAGAGAGCAAGAGACCTTATACCTGCTGCTTCACTCTCCAAATGCCCACAATAGCTAAGGCTGGGCCAGGTTAAGGTCCAGAGCCAGGAACTCAATCCCAGTCTCCCATAAGGGTGACAGGACTCAAGCACTTGAGCCATCTCCTGCCACCTCCCAAGATTTGCATTAGCAGGAAGCTGGACAGGAAGCAGGGAAGGAACTCAACCCCAGGCATTCTGAAATTCGATGTGGGCATCCCAAGCTGTGGTTTAGTCTGCTGCACCATGTCTGCCCCAGAGTATACCTTTTAATTAGCAGAAAAGACTACATAGGAGATGGGTAACCTTGTATAAGTGTGTAATTCAGTTTTTTAAAATAGAAAAAATAACAAATACCTCATAGTGTAAGGCAATGATAACAGCAGCAGCTGGGAGGGGGCACTTACTCTAGCAGTTAGTACACAGGCATCCCATCAGAGTACCTGGGTTTGACCCTTGGCTATGGACTCCAGTTTCCTGCTAAAGTAGAGTCTGGGAGGCAGTGGTGATAACTCAAATAGCTGGATTTCTGGCATTGATGCAGGAGACCTGTACTACATTCCTAGTTCTGATCACTGCAGGCATTTGTGGATGGGAGCTCGCTCACTCTCTCTCTGCCTCTCAAATAAAAAAGTAAATTTTTAAATACTAGCTGTTACTATTATTAAATTTTTCAGTTAGTATTAGACCTCCCCCAACATATATACAAAATCTTACTCAGAACAGCAGTATAAAACAGGCAAAAGCAGAGGTACTCCAAGATTAGCTGGAGTAGGGGCCCCCATTCCACACTGGGCATTCCAGTCTCCCAGTACAACCATCAAGGAATCCTGTGGCTCCTGAGAGCATGGGTGAAAACTAAAGCCTATTCTGGGCTAACAGTAATTGCCAGGAACTTTTCCTTTCTCTTCACCATGGGTGAAGGCTAATGTTACCATTCAACAAAGGAAGATGGCGGTACTGGAGAGAACAGCACAGGGCCTGAGCCAATCAGGACCATTACTGACCCTTACACTGGCCAGAGACAAGAGGCTCTAGGACATGTGTGAGGCACACACATTCCTCCTCAAATACACAGGTTCACCAAAGGTGATGAGAACTGTGAGCTTATTCAACAGTATGACCATGTCTCCTCTGTCTTCCTAGTAAGTGACAGTGTCTGCTCTGGGCTCAGGGGCATGGCTATAAAGCACCTTACTCTTCCCTGTCCACATTCAGCTCTGACAGTATCTTTCCAGTAATGTTGTGCATAGTTGTTTAGACACTTTTAACAAGAAATAGTTAAAATGACTACCAAAACACTCTATCCCTACCTGTTCTGTGAGTTTTCTTCTGTTGTCTGTCGTTTATTGTCAAGTGTTACTTGGTATTTACTTGCTGTTATCTCAAAAGCTAATCTTAGTCTTAAAAAACGGGTAGATTTTAAAAAGCCATCCCCAACCTCGCAATGGCAATTGACTTTAAAAATGTTTTTAGTGTGTGTGTGTGTGGGTGTGGGTGTTTGCCAAACTAACTGGCAAAGAGAAATGAGGCTCTCAAGTCCTCAGAGGTAATGTTTTGGAGGACAAAGTTTTCCATAATCTGATTCTTGAATCACATTCTTCCTCGGCTGCACACCAACTGCAGACCCCACAGGCTGGAGCACAGGAAAGAACTCTCTCTCTAGCCTTCCAGCACTGGCACACCTTGAACTTGGTGCAGAGAAAGGAAAAATTCCTGGCGATTATGTTAAGCCCAAAGTAGGTGCTTTTGAGCCTCCCAAACCAGTTTTCTCCAGTTGTGCCCTGACATTTATTTACAACTTTCTCTGCCAAAGAAAGGCAGAGAGAAGAAAATAACATAATAAAAAGTTCAAATGGATACACCCACGGGAAATATTTAGCTAATTCTACAATAAACCAAGGTGCAGAAAGGTTAAAAAAAATGAGTTCATTCATTCTCCAAACTTCTGAGAGTGGGAGGTAAGTCAATCCCAGAATTCTAGATTGGGAGGGCCCAGCGGATCAGCAGGCTTGGCACCCCTAACAGCCTGCCCTAGGAATTAAAAACTCTTGCTGAGAACACCAACGGCAATTAAGAGGCATTTATAGCACCTGTCAACTGCCCATAAGCAGCGCTGCAATACCCGCAAGCCAAACTGGGTGTGTGTGAGCAGGCACGCTCCCAAAATTCACTCGTGGGCTCAGCCCTAACGGGGCAGCCAAACGGAGGATCGGGAATGCGCTCCATTCTACGGAAGCTGAGCTCCTCCGCTGAGCTTCTCTGGAGTTGGGGGTCAAGGGGAGAAAGACACCCTGCACCCGGCGGGGCGGGGGGTGGAGGGGACGGTCAGGGACCGAGTCAGGGCGCGGGGACACAGGGACCTGCGGCCATCCTACGCTGCGGCTTCGTCCTCGGGACTTTGTGGGGTTTGTTCCCCCGACCCTACCCACCCAAGCCGGAGTTTTCTTTGTTGTTCAGCAGGTCTCGATCACTGAGAAGGTGTGGACCACATCCTCTGCCTGCGAGGCGCGAAACGCCGCAACTTCCCTCCAACAACAACGGCACTAGCGACGAGCACCGCGGCCCGGCTGGGCCACGCGCCCCGGAGCCACTCCCACGCCGCGGAGCCGTCCCCGCCGCCGACGGCCACCCGCGCGGCTCAGAGCAACCTCTCCACCCCACCCCACCCCGTAAGGCCGCCCTTCTCCTCCCAGGAAACTGCCTTCGCCGCCTCCTGGGCGTCCCCCACAGCTGGGCCTGCCGCGGGGGCTGTTTCTTCCTCAAACGCCCGCCGCTGAGACCCCGAGGGTGACCGAGGGTAAGGGGCAGTCCCCACGCCCGTCCCGGCGCCTGACTCCCCAGCCCGGTCCCGGAGGCACGCCGGCTCCCGGGACTGCCTGAACCTCCCGAAGCCGTCCGGGGTCCCCGCCCGCCCCGACAGTCCCGGCCGCGCCCCCCGCCCCGCCCCGACTGGCGCCCACCTGCGGCGGGGGCAAGAGGCTGCTCCCGCTCCCGCGCCCGCGCCCGCGGGGAACTCCTCGGCCCCGCCATGCCAGCCACACGCTGCGCACAGGCGCCCAGCCTCCGCCCGTGGGTCTGTCAGACGCGGCGGCCGCCCGCCGGCGCCCGGGTTCGCTTTCCCCTCAGCCACGGGCTGCCTCGCGCGGGAGGCACAGGGCGGGGACGGGCATCCGCGCTCCCGCCTCGGACGCCAACTGACGCGCCGCGCAGCCAATCAGGGGCCACGGTAGGATGGGGCGGGGCCTAGAGAGAAGAGGCGGGCGGAGCCTCCGCGGGCCGTCGGGGTCGCTGGCGGGGACGCGCGGGGGCGGCCAGGGCTCTGTGGCTCTGCTGGAAGTGGCTGTTGGGTCTCCTGGGTCTGGCCCTCGGGAAACGTCCTGAGGACTCCACCGGGACGGTCCTGCGGCCTCTTTGGTGCTTTTTTCTCTAAGGCTCCTGGAGTGGGAAGTAGAGCCCTGGGGCGTGGGCCGAAGGGGGAGGGGGCCGTTCCCTTTTTTCTGTCACGGCAGCCTTCCCTCGGCGCCAGACACCTCCCGGGGCCCGGGAGCGCCAGGCTGGAGTTCGGCTGCCGCTGTGGGCGCCGCGTCTGTCCGTCTAGGACGGGCGCGTTTCCTCGTGTTTCTTTCTCCAGGGTCAGCAGTACGGAGTTATGCTGACTTAGAACTGGCGATTCACCCTAGGAGTTATTGACAGAACTAACCCTCTTAAAAATGATGTATCAAAGGGAAAAACATTGCGGGGTACCGAACAGTAAAACCACAAAGCGGCTCAAAAGGAAAAAGGCGCTCACAGTTAAGACTCTTCGCTCTGGGATCCCTGGGCAGAAGGAGAATCTTTTCAGAAGAAAAAGGAAGATGTCCTGGGGAACACTTCCCCTTTCTGCAATTGCGCCATCCAAAGACAAACAGACTTGCGTGTGAATGTTCTGGCGCCCTTTGAAAGCGAAGTTCCCTAACGAGACAAAGATGTGGAAAACGCCTGGAATTTTAGGCCGCTGCGCTTTGCAGTGTCTACAAGCAATGGAATCACATTCGCTTTCCTCCCTTTGTTGAGTCTCCGCACAAAGGATCAGGGGGCCACAGGTCTCCGGCCACTCCAGGGAGAGCAGCAGCAGCAACCACTGGCACTGCGGGGCGTGTGCTTTGGTATTCAGGTAGTGCTCACACTTGCGCAGGAGGCAGGGCCTGCTGTCATCCCGTCTGCAGCCAGGAAACAGGCTGGGTCAGTTCCAGGGCAGAGCTTGAACCTAGGGCTGACCTCTCAACTACTCTCCTTCAGTGACCCGTGATTCACAGAAGATAATAAAAATGTTCCCAAACTCTGCTGCATGTTTAGAAAAAAAATCACTTTTATCCAAATCAGATCTTTAACATCGAGGGGTCATGTTCTTCAGCCGTAAACTGCCGCTTGCGTGTATAGAACCGTGTTACTCAAACTAAAATGCTGTGCCTAATTGAATCTAAACAAGGTTATGAGCAGGGACAAGTACAAACTGTCTATTCTAGAAAATAAAATGCCAGGGCTAATTTCTTGCAGTATAATAAAATTTACTTAAGCCCATGAGCCACAAAACAAATCAGGCAGTTCCCGCCCCCTCCTCCCACAACATAATATTTATGAACACAGCTGTTAGAGCTTGGCCTAAAATCCTTTCCATTAATTCACATTTAAGATTCTGTGGTTGGCTGTAATGTTCATTGTTACTCCGAAGGCTAAGTAAGCAGCCTTTTTGTGTGGTACTTTGAAAGACCCAAACCTCGGGACCAGGCTGCCTGGCTTGCCTGCATGCTAGCCATGTGGTTACGCACAAGTTGTTTAACCTTTCTTTGTATGCTTCAGTTTTCTCAGCTGTAAAATGGGGCTTGTAAGAGTTATCTACCTCAAAGGGGACTTATTGGGAATTAAATGACTAACGTGCAAAACCTTAGAATACTGCTTGGCATGTAAGCATCAAATAAATAAAAGACATGAATGTAAGCAGAGATTTCTCCTTGGCTACCTGGTCTATAGTGTGATTTACCACATGTCTTAACAATTATGAAGTTACCGATTTCTTAAATTATTTTTTTACTGTATTGGGAGATGGGGGAAGAGGGAGAGACTGACAGAGAGCTCCCATCTGCTGTTTACTTCCCCAAATGCCTCTAATAGCAAAGGCTGGGCTGAGGCCAGGGCCAGGAGCCAGAAACTGGGTTTCCCGAGTGAGTGGCAAAAGACCCAAGTCCTTGAGCTTTCACTGCAGCTTTCCAGAGGCACATTAGCAGGGCACTGGCATTGGGAGAGAGCCAGGATTCAAACCCAGGCACTCCAGTATGGGATACGGGCATCCCAACTGACATCATTATCACTAGGCCAAACACTCAGCCCTTTTTTTTTTTTCTTAAATATCTGGCTGGGCCCTGAGCCACTTGAAAACACCGTCACCTAGGATCCCTATCTGTGAATATCTGTGAATAGGTAAATGGACAAAATATGGCGTGAAGCCAGCTAGAGCTCAATGAAGACTTCTGTAGTAACAGTCTCACCATACAAGTACCCAGCTTGAGCAACCAAAAACTAAGCAATGTCCAGAAGCCTCCTGATGCGACTCTGGACACTTCAGAGCATGGCCAGGGGCAAGGGCCACTCTGGTTAGTTGCATGGAAAGTTGTGTTACGGTCCAAATCAGAAGAAAGAAAAGAAAATCAATCAATAGTTCCCAGCAAGTATTTAATTATAGTTTTTGTTTTCATGAAGTTTTTTTGAGCGTTTGAGCTCTAAAAAATGAAATGCGAGCATCCAAAACCATTGAAGAAGACATTGCAAAATGCATTTTCCATTGCTGGGTCAAACCTTTCCTTTTATGCCAGGGTCACTCAGTGATTTCTGGGTCAGGCTAGAACAAGTTGACAGTGGTCCTGAGAGTATTGCAGCCCACTACATCTTGTCTGATCTAGAATTGCTATCTTCATTTCCATTGAGAGCTTCCTTGGGAAACTGACTTTCAGTGAACCATCCTCCTCTAACAGGAAATTTGCAAAGGGAGCGGCTGCGTCGCTTGCTATAATTTGCATACCGTGAATGGCGCCTTACACATGGAACTCACCTATGAGACCAGGACTCTGTACTTGAGTGAAGACAATGACATGAGACTTCCCAGCCTCTTCTCACTTCCAACAGTCCTTATCCAAACTCCTTGTCTTTTTATTTTTTTAAAAGATTATTTATTTGAAGAGTTACACAGAGAGAGAAGGAGAGGCAGAGAGAGCGAGAAGGGTCTTCCATCCACTGGTTCACTACCCCGGTTGGCCACAATGACTGGAACTGTGCTGATCTGAAACCAGGAGCCAGGAGCTTCTTCCAGGTCTCCCACAAGGACTTGGGCCATCTTCTACTGCTTTCCCAGGCCATAGCAGAGAGCTGGATGGGAAGTGGAGCAGCTGGGACTTGAACTGTTGCCCATATGAAATGCCGGCATTGCAGGCCACAGCTTTACCCACTACGCCACAGTGCCGGCCCCCAGATTCCTTGTTTTTTATTGTGTGCAATGTAAACTGAAATACAGATAACATAAATTGACCATTTCAGCCATTTTAAAGTGTGCACCTCAATAGCATTAAATATATTCATCTTCACAGTTGTAAACTCCATACACATTAAACCTTCCCCCAGGCCCTGACAACCACCATTCTACTTTTAGTTTCTATGAGTTTAACCATTCTAGGTACCTCATTAATGCCTCATGAATGGATTAATGTCACTATCATGGGAGTGGGTTCATTATTGCAACAGTGGATTTGTCATAAAAGTAAATTCAGCCTTCTGGTCTCTCTCTCTCTCTCTCTCTCTCTCTCTCTCCCTTTCCCTCCCTCCCTCCCTCCCTCCCTCCTCCCCTTCCTTTCACCCTCTCTTGCTCTTCTGTCTTCTGCCAAGGGATAACACAGCAAGAAGACCCTTACCAGATGCAGGTCCCTTGATCTTGGACTTCCTGGTCTCCAGAACCATCAAATCTCTGTTTATAAATTATCCAACCTCAGGTATTCTGCTATGGCAGCACAAAGTAAACTAAGACAAAGTGTAGTATATGTTTTGAATTTTATTGTTAATAAAATAATTGCAAAACGTATTTTGAATGTATAATATAATCAGTCAACTGTATGACAATGCCAGCCTATTGGTCATTTATACTTTAGTATCAACAAGTTCTGGTCCTTTCTAAAAGCTGATGTTGACAGGGAGCACTAAGAGCTTAAATGCTGTCTAGCAGGATAAAGATCAGAACAGCACAAGGTGCCAAAAGATGTGGGGGTGGTGTGTGTGGAGAAGAACTTTATGATTTTGTGTAGGTCCAGACCAGAGCCAAGCATTTCCTCAAACTTTTTTCCTGTATTTATTTATTTGAGAGGTATAGCCACAGACAGAGGGAGAGACAGAGAGAGAGGTCTTCCATCTGCTGGTTCACTCCCCAGATGGCTGCAACAGCCGGAGCTGGGCCAATCCAAAGCCAGGAGCCTGGAGCTTCTTCCAGGTGTCCCACTCGGATGCAGGGTCCCAAATACTTGGGCCATCTTCTGCTTTCCCAGGCCATAGCAGAGAGCTGGAGGAGCAGCTGGGACACAAACTGGTGCCCATATGGGATGCTGGTGCCGCAGGCGGAGGTTTAGCCCACTGTAGTACAGCGCCAGCCTCTAAACGTTTTTAACTTTGAGTAGATTAGATGGTTTGGCTCTTTCCCTGACCCCTGCCACCTGCCACGCCTGCAGTCTGCATGGACCTCTGCTCTCTCACCATCTCTGGCCTTGATGCTGCTGCTCGTACTGCCTGGCCGGGCTTTCTGCTCTCTATCCCCGGCTCACCCCCACAGGTGTTTGTGGACTCTGATTGATCTGCCCGTCTTTGAGAGGCACTTGGGGACCATCCAAGATAAGTGCCCACGCTGGCTTCTCTACCCTCCCAGGTCTTTCCAATATTTCCACTGCCCCCAGTACCTGGCAGGATACTTGTCCAAGTCCTTCTCTCACCACTCTTGACTCTGAGCCCCTAGAGGGAAGGGACAAAGATCTCAGTCTCTTGCAAAATGTGTGTGGGCACTTAGTGGGCACTTACTGAATATGGGAATCTGGCCTCTCTGCAAGGGCTCACGGCCCAGAGTCTGCGAACACCTTCCTTCCGACTCAGCACTCAGATGTCCCTGTGGACAAAGTTGCCTTCCCATGGTGATGTCACTTCCCCTTTCATGTCTGGCAA